GAAAAGTGCAGAGAGAGAGAGAGAGAGAGGGCGGGAGTTAGGGATTTAGGAAGTTGGGAGTTGGGGGAGAAGGGGGTTCAGATTTGGAATTTTTCAATAAAGTCTCTCAAACCTTCCATTTTGTATAAATTATTTCCTCACATCATTGAAATTGCTGCTAAGTTCCCGAGTGATTTTACTTATCATCCTCTTCCAAAGTATGGTCCAACTCTTAATTTTCCCATAAAATATTAATTTATTTATTACTGCTTTATACTATGCGGATGTATTCAATGTTATAATTCCGTGAGTTTACTATCAAATATTTAACAGCTTGATCATCGTACCATCGCATTTTTTTTTCTTGGTTTCTTATCGATTCTTCTCTTTTCCCTTCAGCCCAACAAAAAGGTTCAACTAATTTCCTCCATAAAATTTATCTTTTATCCCATCCTTGGGAAAAATGTGTCCAGGCCCCAAAAGCAGAAAGTTCATGTGACCCGCCCCCTTGTATTTTGCCCCATGTGATTCAGCCCTAAATACACATTGTATTTGTGTTAAGGCCCCAAAGTACCAGATCCTGAGAAAAACCCAACAAAAGTTACAAATTTACCCTTTTATTTGATTGAGCTTGGTAACTGCGCCCATCCCTTTAACCCCATCCCATCTCCCCCTCTCTCTCTCTCTCTCTCTCTCTCTCTCTCTCTCTCTCTCTCTCTCTCTCTCTCTCTCCACTCTATCTCTCAGCTTCTCCTTCTCTCTCACTTCCGTCATGGCCGCTGAAAATGATCAGACTGAGGAAGTCGTGGAAGGCGAAGGCGAGGACGGTGGTCATGGAGTCGGAGGTCGGGGAGTCATCTTAGAAACAGCTCGTGAACGCGGGTTCAACAACAAACACGGAACATGGTCCGGGGACCCGCGAGCTGACGGAGCCTGGGGCTTTGGTCTGATGCATCGTTGTTCTCCCCTTTCTAGGTTACGGAATATCTTTACCCAAATCAATGTCTTAATCAAGATAGTGCTCTTGTTTTCTTGTAATTTATGAAGGGAATCGATATTGGATTTTTGTAGTTTTTCTCTTTCATTTAATTGAAATGAGATCTCCTTGGATTCTTGAACAGCAGTTTGGGTTTTTCTTTAATGCCTTTTTCTTGTGTGATTTGGTGATTGACAGAGTTTTGTATAAGAGATTAACAGCAGAAATTCAAAAGCTCACATTGAATCTTCAGACATATCGACATTTAGCTAAAAATTGAAGATAATGTGATTAAAAGTCGACTAAAGAATCTAAGAACCTGTGAATTTGAAAGGGGGGTCAAGGAAAATTAGAACTATAAATGTTAGTTCTAAGGGCTGTTATGTTAGTTCTAAGGGCTGGAATGTTAGTTCTAATGGCTAGAACTAACAAAGAGCCCAATGTTAGTTCTAAGGTGGTATAAATTAGAACAAACTTGGTTAAAATTTTAGAACTAACTTGTTATAAAATAGAACTAACTTGGTATAAATGAGATATAACATGGTATAAATTAGGTTTATAACGTGGTTTAAATTAGAACTAACATAAATTAGATATAACGTGGTATAAATTAGATATAACGTGTAATAAAATAGAACTAACAAGCCATCACACGCTACAGACTTGAACTAACACTGTGCAGAATAGAACTAACACTGTGCAGATTAGAACTAACACTCTACAGAATAGAACTAACACTGTGCAGATTAGAACTAACACTCTACAGAATAGAACTAACACTGTGCAGATTAGAACTAACACTCTACAGAATAGAACTAACACTGTGCAGATTAGAACTAACACTCTACAGAATAGAACTAACACTGTGCAGATTAGAACTAACACTCTACAGAATAGAACTAACACTGTGCAGATTAGAACTAACACTCTACAGAATAGAACTAACACTGTGCAGATTAGAACTAACACTCTACAGAATAGAACTAACACTGTGCAGATTAGAACTAACACTCTACAGAATAGAACTAACACTGTGCAGATTAGAACTAACACTCTACAGAATAGAACTAACACTGTGCAGATTAGAACTAACACTGTGCAGATTAGAACTAACACTCTACAGAATAGAACTAACACTGTGCAGATTAGAACTAACACTCTACAGAATAGAACTAACATGTTATAATTTTGAAATAGCTTGTTATAAAATAGAAATAACTTCGTTAAATTAGAACTAACCTTTAATGGCTATATTGTTTGTTCTAATAGCTATTATGTCAGTTCTAATCAATGCACTGTTAGCTCTAATGGTTATATTGTTAGTTCTTTTAGTTCTAATTGATTCTAACAGCAAGCAATTGTCGTTTTTGCTTTTTAGCTTTTGCTATTATCTGTTGATACTTCTATTATTTGTGCAGTTTGAAATCAAAAAGTGTAGACTGTGGCCCGTCGGCGTTGTTGACCACAAGTGTTCCAGATAAGAATCCCAATGACAATCCTTCCGGAGATGATGTCATGACGATTGATGACATGATTAGCAGATCAGAGAGGATTCCTGCTTGGTGGCACACAGCTTTAACCGGTGAGGGACAACGATTTGAAAGTGCGAAGGAGTTAAGATTGGCCTTGCTATACTACTCCATGGCAAAAAAATTCGAATACGAGTTTGGGAAGAATGAACCGAAGCGTATTCGAGTGTTTTGTCGGTTTAAGGCAGCAAAAAATTGTCCGTGGATGTTATTTGCCTCTCCACCGAAAAATGATAATAGACTTGAAATCAAAAGGTTTGTGGACAATCACAGTTGTGGGCAGCATGGCAATAATGCTGGTCAATCTAGAGCCTCAAGGCGATTCATTGCTACCCAATTACAACCCACGTTAAAGGTTCGACCGGATATACGGCCTATTGACGTTCAAAAGGAGTTTCTAAGCTCGTATGGGATTAGGGTCGATTATAGTAAGATTTGGTGGGGTAAAGAAAGAGCACAAGAGAAATTATATGGTGATGCCCATGAGTCCTACGATCAATTACGATGGTAAATAGAAGATGATATATAACAAAATGAGGGGATTAGGGTCGATTATACTAATTTTTCAATGTTGGTACTAACGCTTAATCTTCAATTTTCTAGGTATGTAGAAGAGGTCAAGAAGACAAACCCAGGTAGCTATATTCATGTTGAACAAAATGAGGGGAGGTTTACAAGGTTATTCATATGCTACGCCGCCTGCATAAATGGTTTTTTATACGGCTGTAGACCACTCTTATTTTTGGATGGTACCTTTCTTAAAGATCGATTCAAAGGCATACTCCTAAGCGCCGTAGCATATGATGGAAATCAGGGGATATTTCCATTGGCGTATTGTATATGCGATCAGGAAAATAATGTTAACTGGAAGTGGTTCTTACAAGGTTAGTTCTATCCCTAGCCATGTTAGTTCTGTTGCAGGTTATGATAATTCTAGCTCATTCATTGCTAACTCTAATTCGTGTATGGTAACCACAACTCTTTGTAGGTTTGTGGTCTATTCTCTATGAAAGGCCAGATCCATACAACCCTCCACACAAGCTAGTGATAATTTCAGATGCGGATAAGGGGATCAGAGAAGCAGTTAGAGAATTTTTTCCAGATTCTATACACTCTCGATGTGTGTTGCATCTAGTTGAGAACTTCAGGACAAAGTTGAAGGATTTGGGATTCAAATCAAAAGATACTCAGATCTTGGGTAATCTATTGCAATCTGCCTGTTACAAATATACTAGAGCAGAATGGAACGATTACATGGACGACATTAGACTGGTTGACGAAAGAGCTTACAATATTGTGATGAACTACGCTCCAGAAAACTGGGCCAATGCGTTTTTCCCTGGAGTTAGGTAAGTTATAAGCTATTTCATTACATGACTATTATAAGCCGCTTGACGAATTCCCTATTATGTTTCAGATATGGTCACGTTACATCAAATGTTGCAGAGTCATTCAACAAATGGATACATGAGGCTAGGCTACTACGGATACTTCAACTGGTAGAGCACATACGTAAACAGATTATGGTTCGTATGAATGAGCGACGAACCATGGCTGAAAGTTGGAATCAATTTCTTTGCCCCAAAGCTGAACTTGCTCTCAAAGAGAACATGGAAAATGGTCGTCCATTGGAGGTTCGTCAGTCCCACACAGGATTATTTGAGGTACAATCCCATAGATCTTGTCAAGTGGATCTAGACAATAAAACATGCACTTGCCGTGGGTGGGATGTAACCCGTGTCCCTTGCAAACATGCATGCGCATCCATTATGTTTATGAAAAGGGATGTCTACCAGTTCTGTGACTGGTTTATGACGGTTGAAGCCTTTAAAAAGAGCTACGAGCCAATCCTCTACCCTATCCCTGACTTTGAGAAGCGCATCGTGCCAAGGGATGAGATACAGATCCTACCTCCACTTACAACAAAAAGGAAAGGGAGAAATAAAACCAGGCGTATCAACAACAGAACTGTTTACACGCGGCCAGTAAAATGTTCTCGATGTCATATGGAAGGTCATAACCGTAAAACATGTAATGAATCTATAGCTGACTAAGTGTTTGATATGTTGAAGTGTTTTCGTCCCAGTATGCAACAAATATTTTGTTTTTTTCCGATTGAATGTTTACTCTTTGTTAATCGGGAACTAACATCAGCTTACACTAGATAAAAAGTTGTAAGTAACAAAACAACTATCATATTAGGCCTAACACGCTTAAAAGAATAGAACTAACATCTCAGTTATTCGATGCGCTCGAGGGGCTAGGAGTAACAAGCCAAAGAATAGAACTAACTTGGTATCAGATAGTACTAACATGTGCAGAAGCAGAACTGACTTGGATCGGAACAGATTACAGAATAGAACTAACACTCTACAGGATAGCACTAACACTCT